ATTGACCCCCTCCACCTCGCTGCCACCCCTTCCCCAGGCCATCTCCCCTTTATTGACTGTGTTCGTGGGTTATGCATATATGCATATAACTACTTTGGTTGGCTAATCTCTTCCCACCCTCCACCCCCCTTCCCTCTTTCCTCTGAAGTATGATTGTCTGTTGCATGTGTCAGTGTCTCTGGATCTATTTAGTTCATCAGATTCTTGGCCTGTTTTTAAACCCACCTTGGTTTTTTGTGTTTTAGCCTGAAAGAAAGTTTGGTGTGGTGGTGGTGGGAGTTGGCAGAGCCGGCTCTGTGCGGATGAGGGACTTGCGGAATCCACATGCTTCCTCAGCATTCCTGAACCTGATTGGCTTCGTGTCCAGGTGGCTTACACTTATTTTTTGCCTTGTAGTTCATGGGAAGTCCAGTGGGATGGAGTAGGCCTTGGGATATGGAGAATCTCCTGACCTAAGAGAGAGAGAGAGTCAGCTCCAGAGTTATTCCAGAGAACTTTGCTCAGGGTCAGTGCCACAAGGTCTCAAGTTCGGATGGGTCTGGGAACTGAGAGTGCTGGGATGTGCAATGAATCAGCCTAGAAGGGACTACAAATGCAAAGGCAAGGAATATGAGCACAGGGATTTATAGTTACACAGGGGCACAGGGAACACATGGTGGGCTGGCCTGAAATAAGGCTTTAGGTGTGCAACAGTTAATCATTACATCAGTTATTATAGACCTGAGCTTTATAAGCCTTACCAACCATTTGGCATAGATAGCATTACCATTATCAACCCCACTTTACAGATAAAGAAACTGAGCCACAGAAAGGTTGAGTAATTTGCCTGAGGTCACACAGCTGGAAAGTCTAAGAACTGGATTTGAATGTGGGTCTATTTGATTTTAAGGCTCATCTTTTAAACATCATGTGTTCTTTTTTCTTTGATAATTTTGAGCTCCACTTTTAGGCTTCATTTCTCTCCTATAACCAATCAAAACCAAATTTTATCACCATTTTTTATTATTTATTGCCCATGTTCAGCTCTTTGCTCTACCCCTCACTATTTTCTTACGCACATACTACTCAGCAAACTAATGCTGTGTAACATAATTTATCAGTATTAGTTGTGAACTAGATGTAAGTATTGTATTAACTGAGGAAATATGGTGGTGAGCAAGGTAGGCGTGTACTTACTTTCTAGTGCTTTAGAGAAATTTAAAAAAATACATACACAAAGCATAAGTAACTATTTGATGTTCCATGCAGGTTCTTTTAATATTTGAATTTATTGGATCTACTTTCTTCCAGTTTGCCTGTCTCAAAACTTGGCTATTCCTTTAAAGATTTAAAGAGGACTTTGGGTCACTAGGGAGACTTAGAAGTGCTGGGAATCTGCCATCGGTCAATCCTCGCCTCCCAGTAAGACTAAGGGAGCTGCACACAAATGGGAGATCAAACTTATCATTAGCCATACTATAACTCCCATTGCACTCCTATTTGAAGCTCTGATCAAGCATGATGAAATGAAGCCTCTCCTTTTTCCTTAAGTCCCAATCCTCTGCCACCTGGCTGCCATGACTGATGCAGTGGGAATTCTTTAAAGTACCGAGGTCATGTGGGAAGATGGCCAACTTATACCCACTGCTTTACTGTACCCCTGTCATTATCACACTTTCCCCCTTCTCACATACCCTGTTTCTCATGATCTACCTGCTAAGTTGTACCCTCTCCCCAAGAAGCCTTTTTTGAAACCCTAAACTAGATATTTCTTAACCTTCCTTGAATCTCCCACATACACTGCAAGACAACACTTCTCATGTTTATCTTGTGTTGTTATATATGTGTATGTGTGTCTTCCTCTCTCTGCAAGATTGGAAGATAAGGACTTCTGGTTTATTCTTTATATCTTCCTTATGGTGCCTACCACACAGTAGACAAACAGTAAGTATTGGTCAAATTGAGCAGTGTAGGTTGGGTAGCCCCCATAGGAAGAAACCTACCATAATATCTTTTGGCAGCCAAACTTGCCCAAATGCCCTCTGCCTGCTGCAGCTTGAGTGGAGCTCTGAGTTGGATGGGAGCCTTTTGCTGGCTGTCCCATCTTTCATTGGAGGACTGCTCTATTGCTCCAGCTTCTGCACTAGGGTAGTGTGCAGAATGCCAGCATTCTCAGATCTTCTAAATCAGGAGTTTCTTCTTTCTCTGTAAGAGTCAAAAGGCATAGAGCTCCTGTCCTGCCTCTGCTATGCATAAGCTGTGGCAGCTACTGCCTCTCTAGGCTTTGTCAGCTCAGCTGTAAAGGAGGTAGTGATACCTGCCTTCCATTTGATCATCCCAAGGCCATGATGGTTGTGCAGGAGCTTGAATTCACATAGCAGTTTGTACCTCTAAGGTATTACTATATTGGATTTGAGTTAAGTTTGGTAGCCATAGCATTTGGCCAGGTACTTGGAGCTGGCAGTGACCGTAGAGATGATTGCCTCTTGAGAAAAAAAGGTCAATTCTTTTTATTTTAGATATTAAGTAATTCAAAGACTTCCACATGCGTCAGGCTGTTAGCAGTAGTATCAGTACTCAATGCTAGATCCCCTGACTTCAAACCTGAGGCTGTTTTTTTCACTCCATCATGGCAAGTACCCTGAAAGTGGGGGGAGGAAATTAATTTTTCCATTTCCTAAAGCTGATCATCAATATATTGGTTGGGAAGAGGGAGAAAGATGATGCTCATTTATTCTAAGTCAGTGTCTGTCTACTTTTAAGTTCCATTTCTGTTATTCTCAAATAGACGAGAGCTCAAGTACATTGATGAAGTCCAGCAGATTTCTTTGGAAGATGCTCTTTCTAGCCAAGAGGTTGAAGTTGCTTATATCTGCAGTGAAAGCACCAGCCATGAGGACTATATCAGGTGGGTTTCAATGCAGGCAGTCCTTGCCTTGTACAGCAGTGCAGGACTGTGAAAATGACTGGGCAAGCTGAAGTCTCACAAATGGGTCTTATAGTCAATGGGAAAAATTACAATGGATCCACGACCTTTAAAAATGTTGTCTAGGGGAGTGAGATGTGTGGAGGAGGTCAAAAGGGTTGATGGGGGAATATCTGTAATAGTGTCAACAATAAAAAAATTGTCAAAACTTTAAAAACTTTCCTATTGGTTATAAATGTATAAGGAAATGAAAAATATAGTAAAGTTAATACTTCTTTAGTACACTATAATTTAAAACATTAGAAACATTAAGAATTAAAGTGTTTTATTTCTTTGTAAAAAGTTTATTGAGAGTAGTTTGAACAGTGTTTGCCTTTTTCTCATTATATAACTTAGGATATAAAGCCAGCATCTTTTCTGTGCCTTGGTGAATTGTCATAGTTTTTTCTAAGTTTGGATAAGCTTCCAAAATTTTATCCTTTGCACTTTCAACATTGTGAAATATCTCTGAGAGTTCCTTTAATATGGAGTGTTTCTGCCATGACATAAGTAAGGAAGTAATGGTAGCATCAGAGAAGGGAGATGACATTGTTTATAAAGCAAGAGAAGCGAGGTGTCCCCCTGCCCCGCATTTGAATGAAAAGCTAGAAATCTTCAAGCATTTGGTGGGATTCAGCCTGGAAGGTGGTGCCCCATGTAGGACCTACCAGGTAACAAGATCATGCCAGCTGTCTCCCTGAATCTCAGCTTCCTTTCTAGGTTCTTACATTAAACTATATCTGCTGTTCCCCAGGAGTAAGGTGCTCCCTCTTTATTATGCCAACTGTTGTGTAGACAGAGGCACCTTTCTTTTGTTTTCCTTAACATTTTTTTGGTACCAGAATGTGTTTTCTTAAGAAAAAAAAAGTGATCACATAATTATATGCTTATACAGTTGACCTTTGAACAACACAGGTTTAAACTGCACAGGTCCACTGATATGTGGATCTTTTCAATAAATATATTTTGAAATTTTTTGGAGATTTGAGATAATTTGAAAAAACTTGCAGACAAACTGTGTAGCCTAGAGAATATAAAAAAAATTAAGAAAAAGTTAGGTATGTCATGAATGCATAAAATATATGTAGCTAGTAGTCTATTTTATCATTTACTACCATAAAATATACACAAATCTATTATGAAAAGTTAAAACTTATCCGAACCTATGCACACAAACACAATCTTAAATGGTATCATTCACAGTTGAGAGAAATGGAAACAGATCTAAAGATGCAGTACTAAATCATAACTGTATAAAATTAACTGTTGTACATACAATATTACTGTAATAATTTTGTAGCTACTTGTTTTTTTGGTGAGCTCAAGTATTGAGTATCCACTTAAAAGGCTGTGTGACACTGATTGTCTCCAGCTGAACTGTTCCTCTCTATAGTAAATTGCATATCACTGTAAAAAGTGATCCCTTGCAGTTTTGGTGTATTTTTCATTGTGTTTAGTACGATTCTGCAAACCTTTAATGACAGCATGGGACCCATAGGAAGTGACACTAGTGATGCTGGAAATGCTCCCAGGAAGCTGAGAAAAGATGACATTACAAGAAAAAGTTGAATTGCTTGATATGTATCTTAGATTGAAGTCTCCAGCTGCAGTTGCCCACCATTTCAAGATAAATGAGTCCAGTATAAAGACCAATTTGGAAAAAGAAAAGAAAATTTGTGTGTGTATGTGTGTTTTAAGAAAAGAAAATGAAGAAGCTGCTGCAGGAGGCATAAACGCCTTGTACTTTTTGTGAAATACCTTTTTACGTTGTATTAAAAGTGCAGGATTTTTAGAAGAAAGGAATACCTATAGACTCTAATATGATTTGAAAATAAGTGAAGTTATTATATGACAACCTAAAGGAAAAAAATGTGAAGAATCTAAAGCTGGAGAATTTAATGCCAGCAAAGGAAAATTTAGGAGGTTGGTTTTAAAACTGTCAAGATAACAAGAGAAGCAGCTTCTGCCAACCAAGAGGCAGCAGACAAGTTCCCAGATGCCATTAAAAAATCATTGAGGAGAAAGGATATCTACCTGAAAAGGTTTGTAATGAAGATGAAAATGCCCTATTCTGGGGGGAAAAAAGCCACAAGGACATTTATCAGTAAGGAAGAGGCGTGAGCGCCAGAATTTATGCAGGAAAGGATAGGTTAACTACCAATTTGTGCAAATGCAGTTGGCTTATGATCAGGTCTGCTTTTATCTATAAAGCTGCTAACCCCGAGACTTGAAGGAAAACATCTTTTGGTTCCACAACAAGAAGGCCTGGACAAAAAGAACTTTTTTTCTAGATTGGTTCTATTGATGTGTTGTCCCTAAAGATAAGAAGGACATTATCAGTAAGATACCGCCTTTTAAAGTTCTTTTGATTTTGAACAATGCTCCTGGCACCACGAGCTGGAACCTGGAACCACGAGCTCAACACCAAAGGCAATTGGTCTACTTGTCGCCAAACACAGTGTTTCTAATTCAGTCTCTAGATCAGGGGTCATAAAGACCTTTAAGACTCATTTTATACAGTAATGTATGGAAAGGATTGTCAGTACTGAGAACCTCGATAGCAAAACATCATGAAAGTTTTGAAAGATTGCACCATTAAGTACACCATAATGGTTATAGAAAAAGCTGTGAAATCCGTTACGCCTAAAACAATAAATTCTTCCTGGAGAAAACTGTGTTCTGATGTTATGTATAACTTCAGAATTTACAACAGAACCAATCAAGAAAACCATGAAACTTATATGCATAAATACAAACCCATGGACACGGACAGTGTATGGGGAAGGCCTGGGATGGGGGTGTGTGTGAATTCAGGGTGGAGGGTATTAATGGGGGAAAAAAGAGGGACATATGTAATACTTTCAACAATAAAGATAAATTAAAAATTAATTAATTTTAAAAAATAAAAGGAAAAGCAATGGAAAAGTAACCTTGGGTGAAGATTTAAAAACAAACAAAAACCAAGCAAACATTAAATTCCATTTCTAAGCCACAGTAGCCATTTTTCAAGGGCTCAATAATAAACATGAATTTCAAAGCTGTTTAAAAAAAGAATCAAACCATGAAAAAGCCCAGCCGATGTGGCTCAGTTGGTTGAGCATAATGGTTCCATTCCTGGTCAAGGCACTTGCCTGGGTTGAGGGCTGGATCGATGTTTCTATCTATCTCTCCCTCTCCCTTCCTCTTTCTGAAATCAGTTAAAAATAAAAAGAAAACCATGAAAGAGATTTTAGATATAGCAAAAAAGGTAGGGGTAGATAGGTGAAGGGTTTTAAGATATGGATCTTGGAGAAATTCAAGAGTTAATAGATACCACACAAGATGAATTAACAGAAGACGACTTGGTGGAGAAGAGTGCTTCTGAACCAATGCCAAATGAAGGAGCTGAAGACATAGAAGTGCCAGACAATGAATTGACATTAGAAATCTTGCAGAAGTGTTACAGTTATTCAAGATGGCTTTTGATTCTTTTATGACATGGAACTTATATGACACGGGCACTGAAACTAAAGCAAATGGTAGAACATCATTGGAATTGTATAAAAACATTATTAGAAAAATGAAAAAGCAAAAACAGCAGACAGAAATGCAATGTATTTCTATAAAGTTATGCTGCTTCTCCTGTCTCTTCTTCCTCCCCTTATGTGTCCTCCACCTCTTTCACCTCTGTCACTCTTAAGACAGCAGGAATACCCTTCCTCCTCTTCTTCCTCAGTGTACTCAATGTGAAGGTAATGAGGATGAAGATCCTTATGGCGATCTACTTCCACTTAGTAAATAACCATCATGCTATACAGTTAATAACATTATTTGTTGTGTATGTATGTCATCTTGTGAAAATCTAATAAATGTTTGGCAAGAACTATATGAGACTTTTGTTGTTGTCTTTGTCATTATCATCACCTAAGTATTCATCATGTAGAACTTCATTTGTAAGACTTGTGTGCACATGGATAGACTTTTCTTACATAAGCATAGGTAAACGATATTTAGTATCAAATTAATATTGTCTTAGTATTACTGTTTGTATAACTTTGCTTTCAAAGAATTACATTGCTGTATAGTATACTTCTCATAATTGGAGAAACTGTATATACAATCAGCCTATTATCACAGGTAAGGATTAAAACAATGCAACTGTTTCTAATACTGCATTATGAATATGACTAATGCCATATGACATAGAAATTTTATAACAATTTATTCAATTAGTGTATAGGCAAGGCTCTCCTGAAGCAGTATACCAGTTATACTAGGCTACCATAAACCAGTCATATTTCTGTTTATTCATTATAAGTGCATGAATTATTATAACTTTAAATAAGTACGAATTTGTTTTTCTCACTATACTTTCATTTTTTGAGGTCTGGTGTTAGTAATATGTATAACATCTACAGTAGTTTGTGTCATATAAAACAATATAGATGTAGGTACTGACATGATTTAACTTGTAAACAAATAATGTGAACACAGTATCAATAAATACCATAGAATACTACAAGGTATTTTATATTTTTTATGATATTCTTAATAATATTTCCTTTTTTATTAAATTTATTGGGGTGACGTTGGTTAATAAAATCATATAAGTTTCAAGTGTATGTTTCTATGGTACATGATCTGTATATTGCATTTTGTGTCAAATCACCTTCCATCACCATATATTTGGCCCCCTTTACCTTTTAGTATTCTATG